TGATCCACCAACCCTTATCACGAGTGAATCTGTGATCCACCAACCCCCCCCCCCCCCCCCCCCCCCCACCACGAGTGAGTCTGTGTGTGATCCACCAACCCTTGCCACCTCCAGCGTCGCCACCAGCAGCCACTTAAACTTTGAACAACAACAACAACAACTTTATACAGCACTGACAATCTCCCCTATTTACGTGGGTAGAGTATCTACAAATGGATCGCGCTGGGTCGTAGTGTACCAAATAGTACACGAATTAGTGAAATTCAATCCCGCCACGTCCCCCACAGCCCTCTAATTTAAATCAATCCCGCCGCAAACCAACATTGTTAAACCCATCACTTCCCATCCACTCCTTCCTCCTCGCTCACATCATCCACTCCCCGCCGTCTCGCCTCCTCCTCTTCCAATCACCTCGTCTTATCCTCTCCTCCTCCACCACCTCCTCCTAACCATTACGTCTCCGCCATCCCTCCACGCCACCGATGCTGCACATTTAGTGCTCGCTAAATGACAACAGGCACTCAGCCTACGGTTGCTACGATGATGATGATGATAGCGATAAAAAAAACATATAAAAATATATAATATAATTACAACAACAAAAAAGACACCACATTGTATACATGTACGCGTACAGGTTCGCACGAGGTGACGTTGAGGCTGTGTGCGAGATGGTAAGCAGTCGATGAGAGGGGTTCGTGCTTGGATGGGTGGCCACCGTGCATGTAGGCTTGCCACGGGCTACTCCGGTACGTGGCTACGTCGTGGACAGCTGAGAGTAGTGTTAGGCACATTATTGTACTGTAATCCCTTCGCCTACATCAACCCGAACTGGTCAAGTATGGTCAAATGCTACCCACCACTCCCCCTCCCCCAACGGACACTCACGGCGAGACCCTCATCCAGCAGTGGAGTGACGATGGGGCTGAACACGTGGCACAACGCGCACGGTCTGCACCAATGGCTCTCGCAACATCCCACGTGGTTTAGAATGTAACTCGAATCGTAAATACAGCGCGAGCTGACTGACAGTGCAGCAAGGAGATTGCCAACACGCCAGCAGCAGTGATGTGTGACGGTGTTGATCTACCGCGTGTGCTCCGGATACTATGGGGAGCGGTGGCATAGTGGTTAGCGGCACTCGCGCACCTCCGATTCGCAACCTTGGCTACGTACGGTGCGATAGAAGTTCAACATACGGTACGTGCATACAACCCAGCGAGCCGAGATCCGATTCCCGCTCACGGCCAACATCGGAGGCGAATATCTAAGCCGGTCCTGGGCCTCCCCTAGGTCGACTCAGCCTGAAATGAGTACCTGGTGCACTGTGTAAGCATCAGCATTGGAGAAACAAAGGTGGCCGGGCGTGGTGTTGGCCACCGACCTCCTCGTGTGCCGTGGGGGCCATAATAGGTGCTCACTAACTGCACTTGCCCCAACACCAAAACACAGGCTATACGTGCATGCGGCGATCTTTGGATCTTTGTCTAGGAATACTCAGCTTCCCCCTCCCCCCTCCAGCCCACTCAGTCGGGGCTTTCCCTGACAAACGTCAACGTAACCTCTCGAGCGACGTAAATATATACGTTGAACTTCTTTCATGCCGTACGTAGCCAACCGTGCAAATCGGGAGGTGGCGGCTTGGGCGGTGGGGGGGGGAGGTGGTGCGGACGAACAGACTAAACACATTCAAATCGTGTCTCAGAGAGGCCACACTCTGCTGACGAGACTCGGAGAGGTGAAACCCGGTCTGCAGCGGCAGCCTTTGAACACGTACTGCTGATGAGCATGGTTCCACGCGGCTGATAGGCAGCTGGACGCGCGCAAATCGATTTTTTTTATTGAGCTGTGTTCATCTTTAGTTTTGCAGCTACAATCAACGATTGTCGCGGTATTGTGTTGACGCGTGTATCGCTCGGAACAGAGAGGTGGTTTTATTTTTTTGGGGGGGGGGGGGTTTAGATCACGTAAATGTATAAATGTGTCGTTAACCCCGCCACCACTCGACACAGCCAATTAAAATTAGCAAGGTTTAGTCACGTAAACAAAACATGGCAATTCGTTACTGGCACAGCACGCCGGGGTGTGTTGGAGAGTAAAACCCACAACATTTACAATTGCCGTACGACGTTTCGCCGAGTAATTACAAGCAGCATCAATCAGGCGGACAGCCAGATGATGTTTTGTTGACACTCCGGCAAGAGGGCCTGCGATCACTTTGCTCGCCTGTTGCCCTACCTCACTGCCACCACATTGGCAGTGATCGTGAAGGGTTGATGACCGGCCCGGTCATCGGGTGACATAAATGGAAGTTGATCCAAACGAATGCGCGCTACCTCGAGTTTTCAGTATGGAAAACTGCTGATTGGCCGTGTCGGGTGGTGGATGGTTACGACACATTTATAAATAACGCGATCTAACCCAAAAACCTTTATTGTGGATACGTATACCAAGTTTGCAGTCGATACCACATTTGGAAGTGGGTTAAAATTGAGTTACAAGATTTGAGGATACAACGACAACAACAACGGCAACAACAGACAGAGTGAGTTATTAAAAAGCGTGTACAATATAAGAGGAGGTTTTCTCCCTTTATCTGGCAATACACCAAGAGGTGTTGAGATGCCCAAATGCCAAATGGATGAAGCCAGTTGTAATTACTGGCGAAACGTCGTACTCAGATTGTAAATGTCGTGGCTTGGCTCTCCAACACACCGGTGTGCTGTGCCAGTAACGAATTGGCATGTTTACGTTACAACCCTTACCTAATTGGCTGTGTCGGGTGCTGGCGGGTTTAGCGACACGTTTATATATTTACGCGATCTAACCCAAAAAAAAATCTGTATTTATAGAGATACCCTTTTGCAAGTGATCCAGTCAGCATTAACCACACACGGCACACGTGGTGAGCATGCAAACACAAACATGCTCTTGATAATACATGCCTTCTCTTTGAAACTGATTGATACTGGCAAAAAAAGGTCCCAAAATATGGCATTATCTTCGGTTAGGTTATTTAAATTGTTTGGTCAATACCGAGGTCAAAAGTTCATAGGTCGTACATATCTCGTCATCAATACCGCAGGTGCCCTGTTTGTGTTCATTTTTTTCCAGCCACAATGAGCCCTCGATGTGCCCGAGTGCTGTGACCGAGTTACCGATGCGTCGCCAAATATGTCCCCCTCGCTAACCACGCACAACGGATGGAATAATGAATGGAAATTGCAACCCCCACACTCACTCACTCCATCTCTCTATTCGCCTTCATAATCAAGGTTTTTTTTGGGGTAAGATAGCGGAAGTATAATCTGAGTAGTACGATGTTTCGCTGGTAATTACATCCAACATCATCGGGCGAATTCCCAGAATAGTGAAGCAATCCACCTGGTTCTGGTGTTAAATATAGAAATATGACGTCATCACTGTGACCCAATCAGAGCAGAGGGGGCATGGGGGGGGTGTTGTAATTATATAACAATAGATTGTTAACAGTTGATTAGCACGTGTTGTTGGCTTTACAAAATACGCACTCTTGCGCGATCCCCGTAATCGCCTAATCGTGACTTGTTTTCAGACTCGCAGATGGCAGTGAGGTAGGTCGCAAACGTGGTAGAGCCGCGTCCAGCAAATCGTTGTTGGCCAGATCAGGTCATGACATCTCAAAACAACAACAAAATCTAGAATTTCAGGAAACGGAATTTGATTTGTAGGCTCTTAGGGCATTGCTCGCGGTGGCGAAATGTTAACTCACTCGTCTGGTATGCAGGAGATCGTGGGTTCGATCCCAACCCTGACGATGCCTGTATATGTGGAGTTTGCGTGGTCTCTCTCTCTCCCCCCGTGGTCGCGTGGATTTTTCTCCGGGTCCTCCGGTTTTTCCCTCCACATTTAAAACCATCATCACGCGTTTAGAGTGTGTGGCTGCTGTACATTTCCACGTGGTAAGCCACTTTCGTTGAGCTATCATTCGTGGCCAGATCGCTTCTGAAAAAGAGCTCCATCGCTCAGTGGGCCTTACCTAGCAAAAAAATCAAATGTAGTTTAGTCCATAGTTCAATTACTAAAATAACGTTTTCATCCATGAAAGCTAAACTGCATCTGAAGGCTATTTGTCAGGAGGACGCTGCATTGGGATGTTTAGTCAACACGAGGTACACCTTAACGCGTAGGCTTTCGCGAGCAACGTTATGCACCGGGTACATTGCACGTGTCTAGCTCTGGGAGGAAACGGGAGAATCGCGGATAAAACATCCGCGAATAGGATAGAAACTCCACGCACAGAAAAGGGGCCCGAGACTGGAGTCGAACCCCAGGTGTTTAATTTCTAAGGCACAAGTGTTACCCCTGGTGTCCCGTTCCTTATTCAGTATAACGTTCGATTATCGGGTTGTAGGTGTAACGATGAAAACACAGCAATTGGATCTACGCAATAACCGGTTAAGTTTGTGTGGGGAGCCGGTGGTGTAGCGGTTAGCGTTACGCTGCGCTACGAATCCGGCGATCCGTGAGCGATTCCCTCTCACGGCCAACATCGGTGACGACTATCTGAACCGGTCCTGGGACTCCCCTAGGTCGACTCAGCCGCAAATGAGTACCTGGTCCAGTATGTAAACATCGCCACTGGGGAGACAAAGGCGGCCGGGCGTGGTATTGGCCACCCACCCCCTCGTGTGCCGTGCCGGCCTTCATAGGTGCTCGCTAACAGCACTTGCCCCAGGAGTCCGTTAAGGCTATACGGGGGATCTGTGTCTCTGTGTTAGGAGGGCACTTGTAACCGGGCGTTAGTTTCAAGTCACGCGCCGTGTTGCGTACGACCTTCGGTTTTTGTCGCCGCAAAGCGACGCCGAAGCTGCCCCGCGCCCGCACGCGCAATTCGATATTTCACCTGCACAGTCTCCATTCCGCAGCCTCTCTCCGCCCCCCCCCCCCACCACCACGTTAGTAGTCTCGGCAGCAGTGTCAGTAGCCGCAGTGCACGCGTGCCAATGAACCGATGCGAGTCAATCCGCGGCCAACACATTGAGGCACAGGCGCGGCACTCCCTGCTGCTGCTGCTGCTGCTGCTGAAGCCGCCGCCGCCGCTGCTGCTGCTGCTGGCTCACGATACGGGCGCGAACCCGCTCGGTGGCCACCGTGTAGATGACGGGGTCGAGGCACGTGTTGAGCGCCGCCAGGCCGCGGGACACCTGATACGCCACGTAGACGGCCCTTACGGTAGGGCACGGGAACCCGTCCCCGCGAGCCGTCGAGAGCCGCATCGCGACGTTGAGGTTGCGCAGCGCGTGGTAGGGCAGGAAGTTCACCGAGAAGGTGAACAGGACGATGGCCAGGAGGGCGAAGGTGCGCGCCTTGGCGTGGCCCGCGATGGACGGACTCTTGACGAGCGCGACCGCGATGAGCGAGTAGCAGACGAGGACGACCGCGAGGGGAAGGGCGAACCCGACGGCGGTCACCGCGAGGCTGTACGGCTGAAAGCGGTGGAGCAGCGAGTCCGGGGTGGTGTCGAAGCACACGAGGCGCTCCTCGCGGTAGCCCGTGCGGCTGAAGTAGGCGGTGGGCAGCAGCAGCGGCACCAGCAGGGCCCACGCGGCCGCGCTCGCGCGCCACGCGTGGCCGCGGTCGCGCGCGAGCTCGGCGCCGCGATGGGGCCGCGCGACGCCGAGGCATCGGTGCGCGCTGATGAGCGTGATGAAGGCGATGCTTGCGCACAGGTTGAGCTGGAAGGCGAAGCGGCACGCCTTGCACGCGGCGTCGCCGAACGTCCAGCCGACGTCGTTGCCGTAGTATTCGGCGAAGAGGGGCAGCGAGAAGGCGTAGAGGAGGTCGGCCACGGCCAGGTTGAACATGAAGACGGTGATGGCGCTCCATGGTCTCATGACGCGGCAGAAGAGCCAGATGGCCACGGCGTTGCCCGTGACGCTCGCCAGGGCGACGAAGATGTAGAAGGGGTGCAGGTAGGCGCGCTGGAAGTGTTTGTCGATGGGGCACGAGATGTTGGGGTGAGCGCTCGCTGACGACGCCTGCTGTTGAGCGGCGGTGGTCGAGTTGGTCGGCTCCATGAGTCGCGGTTCTTGGCTCCGAGAAGTCGGCGGAAGTCGCGCGGCAGGACGGGGATGGTGGTGATGGTGGTGGTGATGGTGGTGATGGTGGTGGTGATGGTGGTGGTGTTGGTGGTGGTGATGGTGGTGGTGATGGTGGTGTTGGTGGTGATGGTGGTGGTGGTGATGGTGGTGGTGTTGGTGGTGATGGTGGTGGTGATATGCGCAGATTCAAATTCGTCTGCCCCTTGACGGCATCCGTCACAGCGTCGCCGCTATCGGAGCGACGGTGGCTCTGCAAGATTGAAGGTGGAGTCGGTGGGGTTCGTCGCCTCTTGACACCGCTCCCCACATCATTGCCAGCACCAAAGGTCCCCCGTATAGCCTTGACAGACTTGTTGGGACAAGTGCCGTGAGGTTGTCAGCACCACGCCCTTTGTCATTTCTGGTGACGGTGTCTACGCACAGCACAAGCTGCTCATTTGAGGCAGCGTCGACATTACGCGCGCACACACACAACAAAGACAAAGATCCCCCGTATAGCCTTAACAGACTGTAGGGAAAAGTGCTGTTAACGAGCAGCTATGAAGGCCGGCACGGCACACGGGGGGGGTGGGTGGCCAGCACCACGCCCGGCCACCTTTGTCTCCCTCGTGGCGATGTTTACACATCGCATCAGGTACTCATTTGAGGCTGAGTCGACCTAGGGGAGGCCCAGGACCGGTTCAGATAATCGCCACTGGTGTTGGCCGTGAGCGGGAATCTGAACCCGGGTCACCAGGTTCGTAGCGCAGCGCGCTAACCGCTACACCACCGCTCCCCACACACACACAACAGGTGACACACGACACGTTACGGGACACACACAACAGGTGACACACGACACGTGACACACACACACACAACAAGTGACACACGACACGTTACGGGACACACACACACACCAGGTGACACACGACACGTGACACACACACACACAACAGGTGACACACGACACGTGACACACAACAGGTGACACACGACACGTTACGTGACACACACACACACAACAGGTGACACACGACACGTTACGTGACACACACACACAACAGGTGACACACGACACGTTACGTGACACAACAGGTGACACACGACACGTGACACACACACACAACAGGTGACACACGACACGTGACACACACACACAACAGGTGACACACGACACGTTACGGGACACACACACATAACAGGTGACACACGACACGTGACACACACACACAACAGGTGACACACGACACGTTACGTGACACACACACACAACAGGTGACACACGACACGTTACGTGACACACACACACAACAGGTGACACACGACACGTCACGTGACACACACACACACACACAACAGGTGACACACGACACGTGACACACACACACACACAACAGGTGACACACGCACACGCCCGCGCCTTGGAAAGCAACAACTTGCCGATGACGCGGCCTGCTGTTAGCCACAACAACAAACACAACAACCACAACAACAACCACCACAACAACAACCACAACGTTGACACCACTCGCTCACCTGGACCCACGCCACGCGAGGCGGTTCAGCCGCTCCCCGTCCTCGTTGAGTCCTCTTCAATCGTTCGCTCGATAAAAAATATATATATTTGTTTGCCTTTTCAAGTAAAAAAAACTCGCGCGAAGCGGGGATGGGACGAGCCTCCGACTGCGTGTTTTGTGAATGTCGCCTGAGAAGCGAATCTGCTGCCAGATGTGCTTGTGGCTGTCTCTCGCTCTCTCTCGCTGTCTCACACCATCCGTGTCGTCTCGTGTCGCTCACCCACCCCACTCCACTCTCTCTCTCTCATTGTAGCTCTCTCTCACTCTCCTTGTAGCTCGCTCTCACTCTCCTTGTAGCTCTCTCTCACACTCTCCTTGTAGCTCTCTCTCTCATTGTAGCTGTCTCTCACTTTCTCTCTCCTTGTAGCTCTCTGTCTCTCTCTCTCCTTGTAGCGCTCTCACTCTCTCACTCTCATTGTAGCTCTCTCTCACACTCTCCTTGTAGCTCTCTCTCTCTCACTCTCTCCTTGTAGCTCTCTCTCTCACTCTCTCCTTGTAGCTCTCTCTCTCTCACACTCTCATTGTAGCTCTCTCTCACTCTCTCCTTGTAGCTCTCTCTCACTCTCCTTGTAGCTCTCTCTCACTCTCATTGTAGCTCTCTCTCACTCTCATTGTAGCTCTCTCTCACACTCTCCTTGTAGCTCTCTCTCTCATTGTAGCTCTCTCTCACTTTCTCTCTCCTTGTAGCTCTCTCTCTCTTTCTCTCCTTGTAGCTCTCTCTCTCACTCTCATTGTAGCTCTCTCTCACACTCTCCTTGTAGCTCTCTCTCTCCTTGTAGCTCTCTCTCACTTTCTCTCTCCTTGTAGCTCTCTCTCTCTCTTTCTCTCCTTGTAGCTCTCTCACTCTCATTGTAGCTCTCTCTCACACTCTCCTTGTAGCTCTCTCTCACTCTCTCCTTGTAGCTCTCTCTCTCACACTCTCATTGCAGCTCTCTCTCTCACTCTCTCCTTGTAGCTCTCTCTCACTCTCTCCTTGTAGCTCTCTCTCACTCTCTCCTTGTAGCTCTCTCTCACTCTCCTTGTAGCTCTCTCTCACTCTCCTTGTAGCTCTCTCTCACTCTCATTGTAGCTCTCTCTCTCACACTCTCCTTGTAGCTCTCTCTCACTCTCTCTCTCCTTGTAGCTCTCTCTCACTCTCTCCTTGTAGCTCTCTCTTTCACACTCTCATTGTAGCTCTCTCTCACTCTCTCACTCTCCTTGTAGCTCTCTCTCTCTCACTCTCTCCTTGTAGCTCTCTCTCACTCTCTCACTCTCATTGTAGCTCTCTCACTCTCATTGTAGCTCTCTCTCACTCTCTCACTCTCCTTGTAGCTCTCTCACTCTCTCCTTGTAGCTCTCTCTCTCACTCTCATTGTAGCTCTCTCTCTTTGTAGCTCTCTCTCTTTGTAGCTCTCTCTCTCACTCTCCTTGTAGCTCTCTCTCTCTCACACTCTCTCCTTGTAGCTCTCTCTCTCTTTGTAGCTCTCTCTCACTCTCTCCTTGTAGCTCTCTCACTCTCCTTGTAGCTCTCTCTCTCACTCTCCTTGTAGCTCTCTCTGTCCTTGTAGCTCTCTCTCTCACTCTCCTTGTAGCTCTCTCTCTCTCTCACTTTCTCCTTGTCGTCTCGTTTCCCTCTCTCAACCCCTCTCTCAACCCCTCTCTCTCTCTTTCTCGCTCTCCCCGTTGCCATTGAGCAGCTGTTGTTATTGTTCGTCTGCTGCTGCAGTTGCTGCAGCTGCGCAAAACGCCCCACGCGTGGGGCGGAGCGTACAAGATCCGGCCATACAACTGGCGATACCTCCCGTTCAGGGACGCGTATGTCTCCACCCTCTTCAACTTTTGACACCACCGCTCCACTGTACCTCCGACAAGATCACCCGTATAGCCTGTAACAGACTGTTGGGGCAAATGCTGTTAGCTAGCAGCGCCTATGAAGAGCGGCACAGCACACGAGGGGGGTGGGTGGTCAGAACCACGCCCGTCCGCCTTTGTCTCCCCCAGTGGCGATGGTTGCCCATCGTGTCAGGTTATGCATGTGAGGCTGAGTCGACCTAGGGGAGGCCCAGGACCGGTTCGGATATTCGTCACTGGTGTTGGTCGTGAGCGGGGATCGAACTTTGGTCACCGGGTTCGTAGCTCACGGCGCATCATCAACAACAACCATGATCAATCCACTGCTGGATGAAGACTGAGACCCACAATGTGAACCGAGGATCTCATGCTCATCTCTTCACCCTTACCCACATCCTCATCCCACCTTCCATATCACCATCATCATCAACAACCATGATCAATCCACTGCTGGATGAATATTGAGATCCAGATTCGAACTTAGGACCGAAGCGGTTGCCGTGTCAGTGTTCTGACCTTCCGAGCCACCTGGCCTCCTGATGTTTCATTGTTTTTTTTTTTGACCGCCCAGCCCACGGGATGTAGCGGGCACTAGTGGCTGCAGTGAGTCACGGGAATCCATCATCGGGCACGGTCCACCGCTGGATGACAGGACTCTGCCTACCCCCTTGCCATCTCTCGCAGTCTCCAAATGCATCGATCCGTTCCGTGTTGTCGCTGTATGTTAAATCGCTCCATCTCCGTGCGCTATGCGACCACTGAGCCAGCACCGCTGAGGTCCTGTAGGTTCGCATCGCGGTTTCAGTCGCCCGTGTTTTTTTTAAAGCCGGGGGTTCAACAAGTCGTCGGCATACGCGTCATCGTGTGGCTACGGTCACCGGTCGTCGTTAGTCACGTGCATTCCGCAGCCTGAGACTTCAGACGTTCGCTTCGGCAATGTCTTAGTGCCGTGGCCGTTCCTCCCGGCACGGGGGTAGCGCACTGCCGTCTGTAAGAGTCTCCCCACGAGAAATGGATTTCGTCTACGTGGAATGATGCCGACAGCAGCGGCAGCAGCAGCGGCGGTGGCGGCGGCGTTCTGCTGCTGAACTTCGACTTCGAAGCAAAAAACGCGAATGCGCAATGGACTTTATTGGCAGCGGTTGCACGAGCATCAACGTGTGACGTGCGTGTTCAGAAGCGACCTGGCAATCACAAATGATAGCCCAATTAAAGCGGCTTATCGTGTGCAAATGTATAGCGTGTTTCTAAATGTGGAGGGGAAAAACAGAGGACCCAGAGAAAAATCCACGCGACTGCCGGGAGGACACGTAAACTCGAAATATATAGAGGGGTTCTGGTCGGGATCGAACCCACGCCCTCCTGCATACCAGGCGAGGTAGTTAACATCTCGCCACCGCGGCGTCCTCTCACTGGCCTGTACAGACGACGCTGTACAGACCAACAGAAAAGCGCCGGATTCTGTCTATTGCTTGTATCGCAACCGGCAATCCTCCACTAAATTACAGGGGACATTCGTTTCACGTCGCCCGTCAGCGTGTCTCGTCGCCGCAACGTGACGCAAACGTTCCCCACGCTCGGGCCTTCCGACGCTTCTGTTGTCGTTGTTATACCTGCACGGTATCCACGCCGCGAGCCTGCCACGCGGCCTCCACGCTGTCCGACACGAGTTGGAAGCCACCTTTGGCCCACTCTCGAAAATAAAATAATAATAGTAAAAGCACTGCAAGTAATTTGGCGTAACGACGATGATCGATAATACGGAATGGTAAACTCACCATAGCCAACAGAACGCGTGCGTAAGAACGGTCACGTTTTCGACAGATAATGTCTACAGCAACGGTTTAGTACTTAGATGGAACCCTGCATCGCTACGTGGCCCTTGAACCGGCCCAGCACAGGTTCATCCTCATAAGCGGTGGACATGTAGTTATTTATTGATTTCGTGTATGTATATATATGGTGGTTCCTTTCGCCGACAGGGCCATGACTTACTCGTCAATGTAAACAGGACGCACGTTAAATTAAACACGATTTTAACAAAACAATTTGGGACATGGCCATTCAGTGTCACGCACCCAAACCCTCACTTCCCACAAAAAAAAAGAATTTTCCCAAAGAAGCTGACAGCTTTAGCTTTTTTTTTATGAGAGTAGGATAACTCAGTCGTTGGAAGAAAAAAAAGTGAATTATTACGTTCAGTTATGCGGCCATCTGCGTGGAGATTATACACTCAAAAAATAAATAAATATATCGCCCTCAATGCTTCAGAGCACATAAACCCCATAACCTATGTGCTATGTCGAAGGGCCATTGTCCGAAACGTCGACTATGATACATTTTTCTGTTTGAGGCCACACAGCTATTGACGAACGCGTTGTGTTTCTATTGCGCTGTTAATGGTGATTGTTGCATCGCTACCACAAAGTGTGTAACAATATCCGCATTTCCATCAGCCTACGTTGCAGGTAATGGACTCAAAACGCGGCTCCCTCCAGCCACTAGATGCCGCTAACACCTACCACCACCACAACAACTGAGACGCGTCCTCGACAACAACACGAAGATAACCACGCACGTGTAACATTTCAAATAACCCACACACGCACGGCGCGATTGGATCGCGGGGTGCCTTTTGATCGGCGCGCGCGGGGGGTGCGATTCGACCGAACGCGTCGCGAAGTTTCCGAGGTGACTTACGTACGGTGCGAAAGAAGTTCAACAACCGACATACGCGCAAAGACTCGCACAGAGACCCATCGTCTGTTGCCCTTCCCCAGCACCTCCGATTAGCACGGTTGGCTACGTACGGTGCGAATGAAGTTCAACATACGTGAACGTACATAAAACACAACTACACAATGGTATGTTTATTTTACCAGGTGTGAGGCTCGCTGAGCCACGTAGCTGTTTATTTTAGAAGCGACCTGAGGATAAACAAATTTATGGCTCGACAAAAGTGGCTTATGATCACGTGGAAATGTACAGCAGCCAAGATAATCTAAATGCGCGTCGATTTCTAAACGTGGAGGGATACAAAAAAAATTCCACGCGACCACGGGGAGCGAGAGAGCGAGAGAGAGAGAACGTGCAAACTCCGAATACGCAGCAGGCATCGTCAGTTTTGATTTGAAGCTTTCGTGACTGCAGGAATCCATACTCTTTGGTTCTTTCGGTAAAGTCACGTGGGTAGAAAATGCAATAAATCACGACGTTTCGGGCGCAACACCAGCGCCCGTCATCAGGTGGGGAAAGCATTGGTCTGCTGCTGAGGCAGACTGTTCTGTCGAGAACGTCGTGATTTATATTATTTTATACCTACGTGACTTCAACGAAATAACCAAAGAGTATGGGCATCGTCAGGTTTCGGGCTCGAACCCACGACCTGCTGCATACCAGGCGAGGGAGTTGACATCTCTCGTCACCGCGAGAAATTCAAGTCAACCCGCGTGCCAAA